GCCGTTTGTAAACACGTTTAACTCGACACGGTTTTTTTTTTCTTTTTCCTTCTTTTTTTTTTGCCTATCGTAAAAAACTTGGCCGGTGGAGCAGGAAAAAGCCGTTGCCATCCGCAGCCTGCCCACAATAAACACTTAACTCCAATTTTTTGGCGGCTCGTCGTAAAAGAGCAGACTGGAAAATATTGACGGAGCTTTCAAGGGCACCGCTGTCATTTTTCCCCGTCTTCTTCTTGTTCTTCCTCGAGCTCTCGGGCGACGCGACAGTGACGATTTACGCGGGCCGAAGAACTTAACTCGCGCGTAATCCCTAAAATATTGAGATCCGGGCATAATAAAGAGAGGGACGTCGTCGTAAAAGAGTGTCTTCCTCGTTCTTTTCCCAGGGGATATGGTGCGCGACTGCACCCGCGGAGACCATACGACGATGGCAGCGAGAGCGTAAATCCGGCGCGCAAATCGAGCGTATGCGCCCGAGCCCGTTATGCGCGCCCAGTGTCCGGTTACTAAGCTCTTCGGCAAAGAGTTGAGTGGCTCGCTCGCTCGCTCGCTCCGACGAGTGTACTCTGTCCTGCCCGAGCTTTGTATTCCCGCGTGGAGACGTCTCTCTCTCTCTTTGTTTGTTTTTGCATGCGTGCGCTCGCCTCGTCTCGCGCGACACCGAGCTACAGCCGCCGCGGCGCGGGAGCTCCTCGCTGTTTTTCAGGTGGACCGGCTGCACGCCGTTTCAGAATGCACTTCCCACAGCCTTTTCACGGTCACGTTCAATTTTGACGTACAGTTATGTCTCCTTTATACCGAACCGGTTTCTCAAGCAATTTTATCGAACGCGTTTTTCTTCATTCCGCATTTACACGATTTGCAATTTTTTTTTTTTTCTAATCGACGTATCACTACTCTGTTTATTACGAGTCGAAAAACAAGTTATCTGTTTTCATTTTCACTTACGAAATAATTGTTTGTTTGCTTTTGTATTAATTTCCATTTTTTTTCACGAATGAAAAAAAAATGTTTAAATTACGCAATACTTAAGTAACAAACAGCTTGGGACACTTGCATAACGTTGAGAAAGGATTGGGTAGTCGTAATATTGTAAAAATGATCCTCGGCGTAAATGATTGCTCCCCGCCGATACTTAACCCTTTAACCAACATCATAAGAAGTAAAGTGCCATCGACATTAACTCCTGGAGTCAAAGAGTTAACCAGTGCTGAAAGGAGTAAGAAGCAAGGCAGAGATTCTCAGGTAGAACTTGGAGACTATTCGACTTCCTCGACAAAAAAACAAGAGAAAAAAACGGAGCAAAAAATAAGGATACTTGGACACACTTTTGGCGAATGGCTACCGTGACATAAATTTACGACTAGCCCTTCGATAGTTTATGGCTAAAAATATTGCTGTGCGTGTCCGAGTTGAAAAATGAGATCGAGAGAAGTGCAGGCAGACTACTGGGTGCGGCAATGTTTTTCGAAATGGCATAATAACCGACGATTATCATCAAAAAACCATAGAAAACAGTAAGACGGAGGCTCTTTACCTCGCTACTTTTTTTGCTGTTTACGAGGCGTCGAAGGATTTTATGGGGGTATGCCGCTAAATGAATCCAACGAGCGTGTGCGCGCGCGGCCAAGGACGCGGAATGTCAACGAGGTGGACAGTTTTTTCTTCTGCAACTATTTCATCTGCGGCAAACTACCTTCGAGGTTCTCTACGGTGTTGTTTGTTCCTCTGGGCAGTTCCCGGTGACAAATGTTAGCTAAAGAATACGGTAGGCTATATTTCGAAATTGGTTTTTTAACCTGTCTTCTGCTCACTAAAAACTCTTTATTCAAAGTCTTCTTACAGTTCAGCTGTCACACTGTCAAATTTTCTTCAATATTTTCTTTACTTCAGTACACTATACGCCGTGTTTATTCAACAACTTTTTTTTAGTGAAATTTATTGGATTATAATTAAACATTTTTTTAAATTATCTTCAAAGACGTGATATAGCTTTGCGATGTATTGCGTAAAATATATCGTTACTATTAGATTTTTCGTTAACCTTAGTGCAAACATTCTAAAAAGGGAAATCTCCTAAAAAATCACCGACAAAACACATAAATTAATTTAGGCTTAAAACATTTTCTAAAGAAGTACGTATAAACAAGAACATATGAAAATGATTTGTTAAAAGTTAAAATTTCTGTGAATTATTTATAAACTAAACAATTTTTAAATAACATATCATTTTTACACGAGACTTTTTCATTCAACGTATTTTTAATTTAGCAAAGCAAATAATAAAACTATTATTTTTTTAAAACGCGTTTAGTGAACTGTTGATATTAAGTAACATAGATGTGTAGAAGTGTTGTCGATATAGATGAACATTTTCTTTGTTTGGATATTACGACTTATTGCCTCTAATAAGCATATCATCAATGAATAATATGCCATATTTTACATAAATAAATAAAAAAATTGATCACGTTAGTTCACGGGCGATGAATAAACAGGATATGAAATTGCTTTGGTGCACAATAATCCATATAACGTATGCTCGATATTTTGTTTCGTAAATCTGTATACACCGTTGGCGCACGTTTCTGCAGCAGTTACTTAAGAAATTTGTAAGATTTGTGATCGCTTATCATCTTTCGTAAAACCCAATCCACCGATTACAATTTTCTCGCATAGAAATCAGTATCGTTAGCATATTTAATGTATGGCAATGGCTTCATGCCCTCTTCATTAACATTATTGAATAACTGTTGAATAATTTATGAATTAATTAACTTAATTAAGCTTTTTAGTGTTGAAAATGTGTCCTTAACAGATCAAATTTTTACCTCTAAAAATGCCATATCGTTATTTGTGAAAAAAGTTGCATTATATTTCTTAAATCATTTTATATTATTTATTATTACAATATACCAATAGTAAACTAGCATTAACTAGTTCAGCACCATCCTACACAATTTCCTCTTGTTTGTAGGAATTGTATAGTACAAATGTATGTAACATATAAATCTTAAATACTAAAAACTAAATCATAAAAATATTTATAATTACTGTAATGGAAATACGTTTATAATTTATCGTAGGAGCTGTTGTACATTCTTTGATATCAATATTTTTAGTTTTAGTTTGACAATTTTTTTATTGCCATACAACACGTTTCGTTCTTGCAATAATATATTTAATATTTTAACGGCAATAGCATAACTACTGCTTTTATATATCGTTTTATTACTCTGATTTAATTTCATCGAATGTCCATAATGTAAATCACTAATAAGTTAAACGAATTATTTTATCTATCTGCATCATTATAAAATGGAAATACATACATACGTGCTCGCGCGCGTACACAACACACACACACTCACAAGGTACAAAAGGAAATTAGATCAATATAACTAAAGTTAATTTTATACATTCTTTTATTCTACACCAATGACAGAAAATGCACCGACGCACATTAGAAAGATCCAAGCATCGATATAGGAATTGGATATGGCATGAGGATGAAAAATGAGCCAACAGAGAATTTAAAGTAATAGAACTGACCATAAAGGGGGAGTATCTGGATTTTCAGAAAAATCGAGCGACGGACGCCACGTGGCAGGCGCGCGCTAGTCTAGCTTGCAAAAATTCAGTCGCGTGCGCGATGATCACTCACACGCCTATCCCGCCTCATCAGATATCGCAGTCTCATCTTCATCCCTTACCACGGATGAAGGGCTAAAGGCCGACCCATTGTGTCGATTCTCATCTCTCTCCGTGTTTCTTCTTTCGGCTTTCCTGTTTTCATGCGTTACTTCAATCGAAGCACTGCTTAAATCTTATTTACGTTACGTTCGATTGTTAATTTTACTTGGGGTAATACTAAAAATATATCGTCTATCATAATAAAATTTTAAAAAATGTAATACAAGATTCCTTTATTTGAGCATTCGTTTGAAAATCGATTCGAGATATGATTATCGATATATTTTCTCCTGTCTGTTTGGTGGCTATGTTCTTAAATATCACTCATTTATTGATAACTAAAATAGTGTTCACAGCTTAAAAATTTTTTATTATTGTACATCTCGACTTGGCTGAAACGTGTTTTGATCGTTCCTCGAATTTTTAGCCCGGCTGCAGACAAAATCAGCACCTGGCGTCGGAAGAAATATCCGGAGGAGAATCGCCAGAGGCGAGAAAGGATTTTGAAAATTTGAGAAGTTGTCGGCCATCAGCGAGAGAGATGTTGGTCAGCGTGTCATATGGTCAACGGCGAGGCTCGCAAGCGGGGGCGGATCACCGGCGGCTGTAGCGTCCATGCCGGCAGTCCTTTCTCCCTCTCGTGCAGATGCGTGCAAAGCCTACTCAACCCTTCCGTAATAACGTCGAGCATTGTGCTATATAGCTGACAACGTTAGAGAATGCCCGTGCACATAACGGTACGCCACCCCCGCATATGAAATGTGTGTCAAAGGGTCGCTCGATGAGTCCGCCTCTTTCGGTACTTTTGTTAAATTGCAAGGGCGACGACTGCCAAGCGGCGGCTGTCGAACACCGGACAAAATTCGAGATTGATGCGCATCGAATCCACGTGTGCAGGACACGCTTGCCTAATTGTCATTAAGTTTGATCGAATTTTTCACGATTTACTTGCGCCAAACTTTCATTTAAAAAAAAAATTAAACTGGAACGAAATTTTCTTCTTAAATTTCAATGATAAATGTAATAAAATTATTTATATTAGATTTTTTAGGCACAAGAACCGTTACAGCTACATATTTTATATTATATAATTTTTTCATTTAATTTTTTAATTTCTCGATAAAATTGGACGTTTTCACATTTTTGATTACTAAAAGATTGGTTACGCTTTAAAGTAATCAGTTGTTTTTAATTTATATAAAAATGATGATTTATGAAAGGATCAACGTTTTTAGTATGTAATTATTGATATTTGCATTTGATCGCGAAAAATAATTTGATACATGAAAACATGAATAATAGATTAAATGAAATTTATTAAATGGCTATGAATAGCTAGAGTAACAGTGAAAATGCACATAATTATCGCGTTTGCTTAACAACGTGAGGCAAGTCGTACTTTCCTCGTACGCATCTAATCTTGACACCAGGAGTATCTTTACACCTGCCAGGCCTAACGAGAACTATGTTATGCTCTTGCAAGTTGTGCCCGACACCTGAACAAAAGAACGAAATATATGCATGAACACATATAACAATGTTTTCGATGAATGAAAAGAAACAAGTCAATGAAGGTTTACCGGGAACATAAGCGATCATCTCTTTGCCAGTGGATAGCCTGACGAGAACGCACTTTCTGTTCGCCGAATTGGGCTTCTTCGGTTTCTTGATGAGGGTTTTGAGTACCACGCCTTTGGCGAACGGCTGCCCATCCAACGGGTTCTTCTTCTTCCTCTTTTTTATATGAGGCCCTCTTATGTGCATCTGAAGCAGAGTTGATCCGAGGCGCATTTGCTGCAGACCTGTCGATTGAACAAGACAATTGAACCGTTAAAAATTACGTAATCAAGGAAAATGCTAAGAAATGCTAAGCTTCGTGCGAGTTTCACGGAAAGCATTCGTCGGCTTTCAAAATCGATGATCGCTCGTAGCGACACACACATCAGAAATTTCTCGAATGGATTGATTGATGCCTACGTGACTTTTACTAACTGTATCTACCTCGGGCTGTCAAGGATGCGCGTCGACTGATATGATTGCGCTTTTGTTTACATTACGACACGTCGCAGCTCGTTGTGCCAGCCGATAATTCCGCGTTAATATCTTTTAGATGACAATGCGCAACGCAACGGACGTTCGCGCGCTCCTCGCGGTGAGTCATCGATCTCTCGTCGCATAATGACGGAATACGCAAGCGGGAGGCCTCGCGCAATCCATCAAAAATGCCTTCCTCGAAGAACGCAAAACTGAGCGAAATGTATGCGCTGAATGGCGCGCGCGCAGAGAAGAGAAAAAAAAAACTCTTTCGGCAAAACTAATCTAAGAGGGAGTCGGCTACGCGGCTTGAATAGGCATGGGACGCCAGTGAAAAGAATATGACGAGCGCTTGACATCTGCGGAGAGGCTTTTCTCACTGGTGCGTGCATAAGCTTATTAAGTAACATTGTTCGGCTACTCGCGCACGGTCGGAGGTCGCACGCGAGTCCAATAGGCGACGTCTTCTTTCTGTGCCGACGATCGTTGCGACCAGTTTTTTCATCTTTTCCTCCAATTCTGAATGCACCAGCGAGGATCGATCTTGCTTTTGGGAATTCGGGGGATGTGCGACTCTTCCGATCGAAGGCTCGTTTCTTTCGCGATGCGCTCATTCCATTTTTACTTTTGCGCCACTGCAGCCACCACATTTTTACTTTGTTTCTTGTTCTGACTCCACTTCATTCAAGACAACTCATTCGATCTTTCGTTCGATATCATTGTGATCTCATTTCAATAACGATTACACTGAAATTTTTAAATAGAATCGAAACAAACGTAATTGAGTCAGTAGCGTGCCTGAAATAGTTCAAAACAAATATGCCATATGACTTTCTCTCGAATGCTTATGTTAGTGTAATTGCTACGTTACGAAAAGTTTCTTAATTTTGCTGCATACTTGAATGATTTTTTTTTTTTTTGAATCGTTGAGTATTTTTCAAGCATAAACAACAAAAGCTGACAAATAAAATAATGATGGCATGAAGGCGAACGTCAAATGATGAAACGCAATAATGAAGTAAGGGCTTCGCGGAAGCAAATAAAAGAGCAGCGTTATTTACATATAAAGCAGAGAAAGTTCTCAGGTGACATGGGGCAGCAGCGTATAAGCAGCGACAAGGAGCGCAGAGTGACAGGGCGAAAATAAAGCGATCGTCAGGCGAATGCAACTTTTGTGCTCTCTCGGTCGCCCCGTGCGATCGCTGTCCATTTGAGCGGAGAGATCTTTGGCTGACCAGCGTCCATCAATACTCGCGCACTACGACAGATGTCCGAGCGAGATGGGTACCCTTTGCTAATCCCGCCTAACCCGCGCAGCACTGCGCCGCAGCTAGCGACCAGCCGCGAACCCCATTGTGCTGACCTCGAAGGCAACCCCTTTTCTCCTAAGATCAATAACGCAAGATTACATTGCGAAAAATTTCGTTGCGCCTTTTGTCCCGGCGTCCGCTGCACGCGCAGTCACACGCCACTTTCCTTTTTCCGGTGCTTCGCCCGTGCAAATCTTTCCGCTCGATCTCACAGCACCCTGCCCCCCCCCTTCGTTTGCCTCTCCATGTTTTTCCCTTACACTGCCTTCATTAGCCATTGAAACTGTTCGCTGAACGATGACTGCCACGATTCTTTACCACTTACAAATGTGCTCAAAACATTCCTCCTTTCTGACGCCGACGTCACATTTTTCAATAACTTACTTTGGTTCTTATTGTCCTGCTTTCCAAATATGCCGCCTCAGACAGTCCTATGCAATTATTTTATGTTAAGGGTGCCAACTGCATTTTCACATTGATAGTATTCTGACGGTAGATTAATTTTAAATAACTTATGGCAACTCAATTGTACTCAACTATTGATCTGACAGAATCTTAACGTCTTTGAAAAACGAAAAAATTTCTTCAAACGATGTAAATTGAATTTTCTTTCATAGATATACATTTTTTGCGGAAAAGTATTAATGACTTAGTCTGTGAGGGAACAACAAAGAAGTTAAATGCAGTAAAAAGAATAAAAATGTATGACTCGTAACCTCATTACGACTATCAAATGACAAATTTCGGATAAGTGCACGAATTAGTTATTTATATAGCTTACTAGCAGAAAAGTAACTCAAAACTATTTAATTATATTATTATCAATTGTTAATCATGATTTTTCAATTCCCATATTTACCCATATAACTTCTTATATTGTTCGTAATAAAGTAGGCATTGCCGAGTGATTTGTTTTAGATATTGTTCAGAGTTTGCTATTTTTACACATAGTATTATTAAAAATAGACATCAGTATTAATCTGTATGTTCTTGAGATCTATGCCGAAATACCATTCTGTCATAACTTTGCTTTGTCATGCCAAAGTCAGATATGCACTCTAGTCAGTTTCTGCGAGGATTTTATAAATAAATGGTTATATCTTAAAAATTGTTGGAGATATTGGAATCGTTTTAACCGCATTGCAATAATACGTAAGAAAGGTCTCAACAGTTTCATCGAAATAATTATTATTCAACAATGCTAATTAATAAGTGGTTATATCTCATAATCTAAATTTGAACAAGAATTGACATTCAAATTCAAAGATGCATACGTCAAAAAACATGAACAAAGAATGCAATAATTTTGTGAAATCATTAATGTATACATAAAGCTTTGGGCGTCTGTCTATTGGCGACAGGAATCACTGGATTAAGTTAGTTACTATTCTACGCTATTCCTGTAAAAACTTTTTTATTCAAGCAATAAAGAAGAGGAATTAGATTATCGAAGGCATATTCATGCGAGTCAGTCACAGAACTTGAAAGAAAATGAAAAATTGTGAGAAAAAATGAGAAAATATTAGGAAGTATTAATTCAAAAAAAAGAAAAAAGAAAAGAAAAAAAGGGAGCCAAAAGGAAATAGAAAGCTTTTCCCAAACATCCACGTATGCGAAAATCTTTTCAAGACATGTATAAATCGAGCCGGTCAACCACAAATGGTCACGTCACATCCACCAATATACATATATATATCTGCATGCGACGTCAGCGCTTAGCAGTTTTCCACGCTTCCTCTCCCTACATTTCCTCTTCTATAACCATTGTTTGCCTCTTTTTTCGCATTCTTTCCGAACGAGAAAGAGGTAGAGCCTATAGCACACCCTTTCGCACGATACACATCGAGAGAGAAAGAGAGAATAAGAGAAAAGTTTTTCTAACGTCCTTTTTTTCAGGAAATCGGAGATGGGGGCTACACTTTGCATGATGTTCTGGAAATGGGTCACGACGCAGTGACGTGCTACGTGCTGGACCATTGGAAGATAAATGGAGATCGGACTCGAAAATCGACAAAACAATGTGGATCACGCTGAGCTGCATTTGTCATATATATTCTTAAGTTTTTCAAATCAAAGCATACTTTAGATAATCGGAGATTTTAACACCTCGTAAAACGTAATATGACTAAATAGTAAAAGAACTATGAATATTGTGAATATGAATGAAAATGAATATTGATTCAGAGGAGATTATGTTTTTGTTTCTTTCTAAATAGAGCCATTTTTCATAGTTTACATCAATGTGTAAAACAATACTGTGAATATCACATAGCAAAAATAAATTATTAATTTTAGGAAAGAAGTTTTAGTTAGAAAATTATATTATTCTCAATGTATATAAAACTATTTATTCTTCATTGAATACTACAGATACTGTCTTAATACTGATTGTTATTATTTTATTTCAAATTAATATGGCAACACATAAGTACATGATTTCAATAACTTGAACTCAATGCAAATAAAATAGATAAACATTCAATTTAATCATTATTATTTCAGTATTAATAATATTTTAGTTACATTAATACTGTAGAGGCCAACAGATATTTTATAGAATATTTAATTTTGAAGAAAATAGTAGACTTAAAAAATGTATATATTTGGTATATATTTACCTTGTACTGAATTTTCCAAGTATTTTCTTGCAGTTGCCAATATGCTTCCTATGAAACATTTTTTCATTACTTTTACAATTCCAATAAGCATTAAATGTTTCTACTGTTTATGTTTACAATAAAAATACCTGTGTTATTTATTGGATTATATTTACTCAATGCTAAAGAGCCACCTGTAAAAAATGTATGAATTATACTTGTAATAAATTAATATTGTAATGTCATTGTATTGCATGTACAATATTGTATTGTAAATACAGCCATGTCTTGTAGGTTATGTGCTGTGACTTAAATGAACGTTTCAATTTAGTAAATACCTTCGACACTTCTTTCCAAGCATATTTTAGCTAAATTAGTGAAATTCCTGATGATGATGTTCATTTTCACGAATAATTGTTAATCCTAAACAAATATATTTCACTAAAATAAAGAACGACCGTTTCGACTAGTTGTACACATTTACGTTTTCCTGCACACTGATCTTACTGGGAGTATTGATAGGATAGAGAACTGCGCTACAGCTACCGGCAATCTCCGGTCTATATGCCGATAATGTAGAATAGATATAAGTTGGTACGAAGAAATTTACTTTTCCGGCTGTCTGAAAATTGTATTAAAATAACAATAATAAATAAATAAATTTCGCATCCAACCATTATATAGAATATGTTTATATTTACTGAATTTCGATAATAAAAATATTGCAAAAGTCAGATTCTTTGAACTGATGTAAATAATATACAAATCGTATTTTTATCAGAAAAATGATTGTTTCGTAATGAAAACACTTGTCAATAATATTTGCTATCGTTATAAGGAATATTTGTGGAGTATGCAATTTAGAAATTTCGTTTTTGAATAATTCTTTATTTAGAAAAAATACAATTCTGAAAGCATGTATAAAAATTTCGCAAAGATCAACAGCTGAGAGAAAAATATTTGAAAAGTAGAAAAAGGAACTGATTCGTACATCCAAAGAGAATAATATTCGATCGAAAGGTTATTGGCTTATCAGTGCCACGCACTCGTTGGGAATTTGGAAGAAAAAAAAGAAGACAAGATGAAAAAGTAAAAAAGAGAGAAGGAAAATTGGAAAGAGAAGACGAGGTATCTGGATCCGCTGGAGCCGCAGTTCACCAGTAGTGGCCACCATTGAGATAGTTGTAGCCGTGTCCGAGACCAAGACCAAGGCCGTTGTATCCATGGTAGCCGGCCAAGCCATGGTTGTAACCATATCCTACGCGGTAAGGGTTGTATACGGCGGGGGCAGTGTATCCGTGGCTGTAGGAAATTGCGGGCAGAGCGTGCGAGTAGGCTGCTGGCGCGATGCCATGGTTGTAGAGAGGGGCAGCTCCGTAGCCTGTAACAAGGTCGTGGGTGTAATTTTGATACATTAGCCGATGCATTTTGATATCGATACTATCGAGTCGATCTCGTTTCGTAAACTAGCTCGGTATTACTGGTTGCAATGCATATGCGGGTAATTTGCTCTTTCCCAGGGCGCGCTGATGCACTTCTCTTGTCGAGCGCGCTGCTTGCTTACGACATCGACCCCACAACTTACGTGTTCATACGTAGTCGACTTATGGCCCCGAACGAATCGCCTAATGGCTATTGTGTTTTCAGAAAAATCTGTTATTGGATTTCGATGCTCCACTTAAATATCGCCACGCGGAGTTATACCTAGTTATAAATGAGATTGAACTTTTTTATCACGCCCACAGAATGTGATTTTTCAGAGATTATTTATGCTTATAATAGGGTATTGTTTCTACGAGGAACTCTATGGAACAAACTCTTATGGAAGCCTTTTTCTTCTAACTTTCGATGGCTTTGAAAATTCTCTTCTTTCACTATCGACAGTTAATAAACATTATTACGGATTTTTTTCTTCACTCAATCGAGAAAGGTATCCTGTACGAGATATTATCGTATAACGTAAAATATAAAATACATATACTTACGTTTACATGTAGTCAATTTGTTGGTTTTTAATAACATACATAATTTACATAACAAAAATTCAAAAAAAAACTAATGACTAACATGTTGCAAAATTTAGAAATCTTGCACAAGTAAGATTGCTATCTCACATAATTTGATTGAATTATACTTATTGATTAGCTGAATGAAAATAGCTAAACGCGGAATGATATGTAATTAGTGCAATAAACGTGCAGAGAGGTGAAGCCAAAAAGAGAATAATGTGGCGCTTATGAAAAGGTACCTCCAATTCCAGCGTATCCATGTCCTGCGAGTCCACCGTAATAACCGCCGTATCCGAGACCCAGGAGTCCTCTCTTCTCTTGCTTCTTTACCTCAGCTGGAGCAGTCTCCTCGGCGTAAGCCACCGCGGCGATCATGGCAATTAAGATCTGCGATGCGAACAACCAGACCACATTCAAATTAGTTACTTGTTGGCTACCAAGTCTAATCTTCATCGTAAATTTGTCGGAATCGAGTTTAATTCATTCGCCATATGAAATTCAAATTGGCCGCCGTAAAAAGCGAAGGGGATGAAAAGTAACCCTCTGTAAGAGAGCTTTTATCACTTTGAAAACTGCGGGTAATTGCCGCGCCAAAATGAATTAATATTTGCATTCCGCGAAAATCACTCGTTGAATGCCTTCAATAGAGCTTACGAAATATCTTTTAAATTTTTATTTCGATAGGATCGAGATCGTTGTTAACCAATAAACGCTACTGTCTAAAGAAAATTCATTTTCAAACGAATAATGCTGTTGTCGTTTTCTAATACAACGCAAACTTGAGCTCAGTGCAAGAAAGAGATAGAAAAACGTCGTAGAGTCGATTTGCTTGGAAAGAAAAACTTTGTCCGTCGGGAGAAACAGCCGTCTTGGACGGGACCGAGTGGGCGAAGAAAAAATCAGTTAACTCGTAAAAAGTAAAAGAAAAGGAGGAAAGAAAGGAAAGCGAGACTCAATCGCATTAACCCGACGTGAATCTACGATCGCTGGAGTTCTGCCAAAGGAGAGAAGATCGCGGTCCCCACAGGGCGATACTCACGATAGTCTTCATGTTGATGCTCGAAAGGGGAGAGTCGGAGAGACGAGTGAGATTGTCAGCTGTAAGCAGCGAATAGTCGCGATCAAACTGATGCGGACTGGAGCAGTCACGCCCAGCTTATATACCTATCAGCAGCAGCGCTTGCCGGTGGACCTTCTCAGGTGCTCGCGCGCGATATCTGCCGTGTGTACGTGTGCACGTGTGCGTGCGAAGAAAAAAACGCGCTCGAGCTCCTTTCTAATGCCGCGACGCTGTAACGCGGGGCCGGTGTGCCTATCAAGACGGCGCAGTTCTCTCTCTCTCTCTCTCTCTCTCTCTCTCTCTCTCTCTCTCTCTCTCTCAAGGGTTTTCGCGCGCGATATCGACGAGCCCCTCGAGACTATCCTCCAATTGGACGCTCGCGGGCGTCTTTTGTGCGCGAACCCGCGCGCCGCTTCCGCCGAGGGTAGCTTCACCAGGCCGACCCTTGCTACTAATTCATCGCTTGCTTCTGCGAGTCTGTCTCTCTTCGGCTCCGCTTACCGTTGTTAATCAGTTTGATTAATTTCGCCGTTAACGAACATCTTGCTTGCACTTTTACGTGATCCTAGGTCGCTCATATTATTCTATACTCTCGTCTTAAAAACGCTCAAAAATATTCTCTCTGAGCGCGCAGCGCCGAAAAAACGCCGAAGCTATATGCACAAGTATAATTGCAGACAGACAATGCTCAAGTAATGGCATTCTCTCGATACAAGTGCGTTGAAAAATACATTTCACTGCAGTAGCGACCCTTTATTCGAAATCACGATCGGACGAACAAAAGCGTTTGTTGATAATGAAAAATAAACTGCTTGCAGCCCATAGAGACAAGGCGCTACTTTTCATCAACGTACACAGATCATGAACTTCTGAATGACGCGTCATGCTTACGTAAGCCCGTCGCTATTGCGTGAAGCCCTAAATGAAACAGCAGCTTTGTTCTTACACGGATGATTTGCCTTGAAAACTACCGACTCCACAGGTATGAAAGTGACGAGTACCAAAGTTGGGGAAAGTGGTAGCTTTGACGGCGTGAGCGCCCGAGCGCTGTTCTCGTAAGCAATTGCAAACGCACGAGATGCGCAGGGGCCAACAGCGGGCGGTATCCGAAGAACTTTAATTGATTCGATGCTCGAAACCGATCGAAGATACGATTTGCCGTGTACTTGAACGGCTAAACCTGAACTCATTGGCCATAAGCATCACGGGTGTTTATTGAACGATCGAACAATTTAGCAAGAATGTCGCTCGCGAACAAAGCTGACGTAATTTATCTATTTTAGAAGCGTCACGTACGCGTTTATCGGGTCAACAGAGTTGTTCCCATCGCCATCGAAATTTAGAGCGCGACGAAAGGCACGGCTGAGGTTTTTGTAGTGCGCGAGCGTAAAAGGTCGCCCTCATCACGCACAATCGTTGCCTATCGCGTGGTCGAGCTTTTTTCCCGTGCCGCGCGTCGACTTCCACTAAATTTGACTTGCGAAACATCGTCCTTCGGCGCCTCGCTGAGAAAATCGCACGGGCAGCGGGAGGCGGAGGAGGAGGACGACGACGACGACAAGAAGCACACGCGACTAAGATAAATTGCGATCGGGTATACGCGCGCGCGGCCATTATTGCGCCGCGGACTCCGAATTAAACTTTACAATCGCGAGCGCGCCATCGACCAGAACCGTGGATTTCACTTAACGCTATCCATTGCCATCTTACGTGTACCCCGTGCTCGAACGCATGCTCTCGCGCGCGGCGTCAAGCATTCGACGAGCCGTGAAAATTTTTCGCGGTTTTCTCGCTCTCTCTCTCTCTCTCTCTCTCTCTCTCTCTCTCTTCTCTGTATCGCCGCTGCAAGGTGATTTCCTCCGAATGACGCGGTCACCACTTTGACAAAAGTTACGTGTTTTCCGAGCGATTTATCGACGCCTGGAACCGCAAAAATTTGCTCGCTCGGCTTTGCGCAACATACGTGTAACGATGTCGTGTCGCGTTTTCATCCGTGCGGTCGACTCGCTTTGCGCGCCGGCCGTTCATTGAAAAGATGCAAGGATTTACATATTGAAATTCATTCGCGGGTACATCGTGAGTTTGAATTTTAATGTGTTTGATGAAAAGAAAGCACGATGCGAACGAGATTTGCGTATATCGAATACCACAGCTGGCGTAAAGTTGCATTTTACGTTTGAAAAGCTTGGAAATTCGCGGGGAAAAAAATATGGACGTCTAGACAGCTCTTAAATGATCGAGCTCTTCGGAGTTGATTTATTTTATTATTTATAATTTGAATATGTCACCTTTTCTCGAGTTCATTATGAGTAACCTATCACGTGCGAGCGCTCGAAGTGCTGCACTAGTTATTGGTTTATTTTTTCTGGCAACGCTACAGCGACATTGACGACTGCGGTTCTGTCGAGCTACTGAAAAATGTACATCGTAAATCACTTCAATTATATGCTGCCTATTGTCAAGCCCATATTTAATTGAAACAACTAACGATCCGTAAATTCAACAGTGGACAGATCGGGTCGATATTGGGTAACGGGCATTGATTGCATTCGGATTGATGTATTTTCGCCCCCGTCAAGGAAATTATTCCATTGTTTAAGCCGCGAACAAACGTTTCGTTTCGATTTAATAGATTTAATTATATAGCAGACAGCTGGCTGAATCGACTAACAAATTTTACGCAAACTCTGCTGATTTCGATTAACTTACCTCCTGTTGATCCAGTTTTCGCTTTCCAAACTGTTGGCGTAGATATTCCGCGAGTCCCTGCTATTTTTGAAAAAAGCCACTCTGACATTCGATTTCATAACTCGATTTCTGATGTAACGTGCCGGAGGGCAAACCTATGTGAAAAGACATGTACTGTGCTCAGCAGTTAAGAAGAAATGACCGATAAAGTTATGATAGTTTATAGCGATCTCGAGTAGTATATTTAACGTACGCAGAATGCTAACATTAATTGATGATTAATTGATCCAAGCTGACGAATATATAAAAATGCACGGAAAGTTCTCACGATATATTTACCGATATAATTGTTGAACAAAAGTAAACAGAGCGTACGCAGTTAATTGCGTGGCCGAGCAGTCGAATGAAAAGCATGGAAAACGTCGACGACGAGCAATTACGCGCGCAGGTAACATTACGTCGTATCTCCAGAAGAATACCTTGAGCTAAAATCGCGCAGAAGAGCTAAGCAGTCGACTCATAAGAAAGTTATCGAGCTGAGTTAATCGTGTCGGTAGACAAGGAAACGAGCGCCAGGAGGGAGGAACTTGCCACTGACGAGCGCGATTCGCGCGGGGCGGGTCATCAACGAGGTGGCGCGCGCTCGCGGGGTTGGCGCGCGCACTCCGCGACTGTCAAGCCGATGCTAATTACCCGTGGAATAATGCGACTCGCGCGTACGAGGCGTGCGCGCGAGCGTGGATGTGTCTCGCGTTACGTTTTCAGGCTCTCGAACGCCGAGGGACATTCGACGCAAGTAAGAGAACACTGCCTCGCGCTATTTTATTACCTTGTCGCTCGCCTTGCGCAATTATTTGGGCGGTCCCACTATTGCCGGGACAAGAGAATTCCTTCTTTTCGCGCGATTGCCGCTCTCGCCGTCTCGCCGTTATCCACAGCTGCACTCTCACGGCGAAAGAGTTTATCGCAATGACGCTGCTTGTCAGCGATGCTCAGGACCCGCGTCAGGCTGGATTCGCTTAACGGTGGCGTACATAGTCGCGGGTTTTCCTCCCTCGCATCCCACGCTTCTTCGTGCAGCCCTTCCCGCTCGTTCGTTTTGCTTGCCGGCCAATTTAAATCTTCTGCCAAGCCTTCCGAAGAAAATCTCGAACACGCGTGGAAAGTTGAAAAGAGAAGAAAGAAATGCTGCGACGGAACCTCTCGCCTTTCCCGTTACGATACACGGCTTGAAGATCTTTTTGCGACGTAATCAAGACTTCGCCCTGTATTCAAAGGAGATATAAGTAAGAACGCCCGACGGTATTGCTCAATAGAACTTCTTCCGTCCGAGTAGAACCAACTATTTTACCGTGAACGAAAGAGCGCTAGTGGACGCGCCGAAGCAATCTTTTGAGGTCCAACGATTTATTTGAACGTATAATAAATCGTTCTTACAATAGGCTTCATCCATTTGCCGGGTTCGATTAGTAATTTTGCAAAATTACGAACTTAGCACTGGCAAATAGAAATGTTTCTTATCCGTCAGTTTCAACTATCATTTGAAACTCTTATTTGCAAACATTCGATTGCCATCGTATACTCTGTGGCATTGGCAAGATGAAAATTTTGTTAATTATTGAAAACTAGTTTGTAACAAATAAGCCCACAATCTGACGTCAACGCGCTCAAAAAAATTAAATTCGGCGGATCAAAATACATAAAAAAGCTTCAATCGGTCCGTCTGAATGAAAAAGGCAACGAGAACACACCGGGCTCCTGAATTAATTTTGACGCCGTCAGTATAGCAAGTTGCGGGCCAACCTTACAATTAAAATAGTTCGTCTGTACAGGATTTATTTGCCATTGATAGCTTAGCAATCACTGTAACAAAGAGTAACAGTTAGCGTTATGTAACGTTAAAAATAACTGCAAGGCGTGCAACGAGCGCTGCTGAACTCATATTTTTCTGTCCAAAACATTACAACGCAATCAAAAAGATTGGAAAAAGATTCTTTTTATTTTTCGAAATATCATGCAATGTAATATTTTGTTGAAATTGAAAAAGGAAAAAGAAATCATTTTGTGAAGGTAAGTAAAAATAATTAAAATCGCAGTTGGAAGAAATGCCAGTGGATGGCGACACAAGTTCAAAAAAATACCGCTTGCGCTCGAGAACCGAAGGAAAAGGGTTCGAGGGAGAAAGATCGAGCCTTTCCTTTTCTACAAAGATCTTTCATATATTTCGAACAACCTGTCACTGTTTTTAGAAGTAAATATATAGAGTGACTGTGGCCGAGGTGTACACAAGCAAAGATCGTTGTTTCTGGTGTTATCAAGCTATTTATCCGGGCTCGCCCGGCTTCACATAACCTCTTCTGAAGGCACGTGCTTATAGCCCCCGTTTAA